TTCCAAAAAAAATTATAAAAATATCATCACTTGGCAAATTGATAGAGTTATGTAATAATTGATTTATTTGATAAATTTTAAATTTTCTAATCTGTTATTTACTCAAGTTCACTTTTTATGATAACTCTAAATACAATTCTTAAGAAATGATTTTCAAAGTAGTATACTTTACTTAAGCCTTAACTTAGATTTTTATTTAAAATAATGGAATACATGCGTAGCTTAGAGTTAAAAATAATTCTTCAAAGTGGCTTGACTTACATATTTTTCAGAATATATACACATATACATATAAAAAAAATTGCAAAAAGAAGAGTGCGAAAAATGGGCACCAAAAGAAAAAAAAGAAAAAAAAACTCTTAAATTCAAGGTGATTCTATGTTATAAAGCCTAAGCTGATCGAGTAATTAAGCCTAAGGAGTATTTCCATACTTAATGACATAAGCCCAATTGGGTTGGGATCCATTGGCCCAAAACTCGTTAAATGATCGCTTAGAAAGCCCGTTAAAGTAGAAAAAAATCACCAAGGAAGAAAGAGTTAAAAATAATAATAATATAAAAAATAAAAATAAAAATACTAATAAATGTTTTATATATAGTTATATTTGTATATATGATCTTGGAAAATATTTTAGATCAAGCAACTTGAATATTATTTTAACAAAGAGTTAGCATGTTCTTTTCAAAACTTTTAAATTAAATTTTTAAGTTTGGCTTAGTTTTGTATTGCTATAATGAGAAGATTTTCTAGAAATTTACCTTAGAGTTATATATAAAAACGTTTTCTTGAGTGATAACTAGCTTCAATTAGATTGTCTAAAGTTATCAAGTGAATTTAGTTATTCACTGACTTCTTTAATTTGACAAGTTGACCGAATTTTGTGGGTATATTCACTGCAAACCCTCACGAGACTATAACTCGTCCACTAGGGTAACCTAGGGGTTTAAAGGCTTGTTGTATGCGCTAAATACAACCGCGATTCCTGCGAAAGTGAGTTAGGTTTTCTTTTCTTTTTCATTCTTTGCTAGAGGACTAGCAAAAGTTTAGGTGTGGAGGTATTTGATAATCATATTTTATTACAATTTTATACCCTCATTATCTATTTTTAATGAATAAATATATCATTAATAATTATTTTTATCTTTAATTGCAGGTTAATGAAGAATAAAGCCCAAAAATCCCATCTCTAAAAAAAAGCCCATGAATTAAATAAAGAACACAAGCAAGAGCCAAAAATCCCAAGCCCAGAATCAAGCCGAGTAGCTTGTAGAAATGACGATATCTCTCAATCCGGAAGACGGAATTTAACATATAATATATGAAAATCGCCTATCTCGAAGAGACGAAGCCATCTGTAGAGGCAGATTTTTCATTGGACATCGATGCTGGTATCGATGGCTGCGATTCAGTTACAGATCAATGGCTGATTTTTGATGGTTTTGGATAAGGATTCAATTCAAGGGCTCTTATTCATTGATGTTTACTATAAATAGGGGTAGAGAGTGGGGGGTTAGAGGTGTGAAAATTTTTATAACTCCTTTTGGAGAGGAGGGCTACTCTTAATTGAGAAGGCCTATTTTTATAACTCCTTTTGGAGAGGAGGGCTACTCTTAATTGAGAAGGCCTTCCAAATTTATAACTTTTATTACAATTAATAATGATAATTTTTTCACCACTTTAAATATTTCTTCTCTTTGTTGGATGATGAAGATGGAGATGAAGAATTATTTAGAGGTTTGCGTTTCTTTTCTTTTTCTCTTTTATTTCTTTTTAGTTTAGATTTATTTCTATGCTTATAATTAGATTTTATTTTCTTGTTAAATAGCCAAGAGGCTAGAACCCTCTTGCCTTAGATTTATTTCATGCTTATAGATTAGATTTATTTCATGCTTATAGAGTAGATTTATTTTCTTGTATTTAATTCTTGCAATTTTATTTTGTAGTTTAGATTTTGCACTTTATTTTGTAGTTAGATTTTAATTTCTTATACTATTCACCTTGAGGCTAGAACCCTCTTGGGTTTAGTTTTTCTTTTTGTTTATTTTTATTTTTTTGATTCGCCTTTAGGCTAGAACCCTCTAGGGAATCACCATTTTCTAAGAAGTGGATTTAATTTTAGATTACCCATATCTATAATTGAATCCACCATCTTTAATTTATTGTATTTTCTTTTATTCTTAAATTTTATTTTTTATTCTTGATTTTTACTTCTTGCCTTATTAATCACATTCATTCTTTGTCACATCCACTCTCACTTACATTTTTTGCCTATTTACACACCATTTTCACTCTCTCAATCTCTTCACAATCACATTCACTCATCACTCCTATTTTGTCACGCACACAACATAAGAACCGATTTTATATTTTCTCCTACAAAACACCTTCCTCGTGGGATCGATATCTTTATACTATAACTTGACACGGTTGTGCGCTTACAATATTTTTGGTACATGTTTATACCGCATCAAAAGCCACCAGAATTCCCACCGCGTTCGGATAGAACTGGGAAGGGGATACTCCTAGAGCGGCATGCACCTCCCTAATAAAAGGATGTAAGGGCAGCCGTAAGCCATGCTCCAAATGAGCCAAGTACAGCGGCACTCGACTTTAGCCATGGCGATGCACTGGCTCCCATGGCGATACACTGGCTCGCTCATCTCTGGCACCGCCAGTGTGAGAGTCTGGGGCATATTGTATTGATCATACAACCCTACCAGATTGTCCATATGGACCCTTGAACGGATGAGTAGAAGAATAGCAAGCATCTCCTCACTACGGCCAGAGGTTGAAACTTGAAAGACCATGGAAGATTTTTTCTTAAAAAAGCTTGGAGGAATATCAAAAATTTGTCAGAGTGAAAATTTGTAAAAGAATCTTCCCAACATCAAGAGGCCATATATAAGTTTTTGAAGAAGTGCGTGGAAGGATTTCAAAGGACGTGGTGATTTTCGAAACAACCAGGTCAGATCCACTTCAGAATCTAAAACAGTTTACTCGAAGCACGAAGCACCACCCTCATTTAATGCCCACGTCCCAATACTCGAAAAGCGGAACACCGTTCATTATGTCCATGACGCTTTGTTTCTTCAATTGACGGTTCAGATCTTTGATGATGTAAGCCAAGAAAAGCAGAATTATGATGGGTAAAGAAGGATGCACGATGATGTCAGCCATGTCTATAAGACGAAGACTTCTGAGTTTCTCATCCAAAGCAGACTTGTATTGATAAGAGCATATCTTATTTCAATCGTACTCGACTAAAAGTTGACTCCAAGCAAAAAGAGCAACTGTTATGGTGTTTACTCACCCAAGATATGTGTATTTGCAAAATGATAGAATCATAGCCCTGGCAAACTGGCCTCAACCAACTTAGTTGTCCAAGCCTAACAGAGGCCTCGACTCCGCCGACTCATCACATCGATATTCCTTCAGGCTGACACGAAAGGCGGGGTCAGTCGATCCTATTGTCGAAGATGACTCACCAATGGCACTCTACCACCTATTTGGCAACTCACAAAGACGACTTGATGGACATTCCTTGCTGTCGACTAAGTTGAGGACTCGACCTCTGCCTCAAGCCTCTCCCTCAGAGCATATGTCAACATCCCAGTCCACCTCGGACAAACCTTATCTAGATTCTAGCCTGACGGTCTCCATGACTTGTCAGCTGCCCACGTGCCTTCTGTCATGCCCTCAATCACTTCCCAGAAAATACGATAATACTCTCTCCCGTGCCGAAGTGACTTCCCCTCCAGTCGTCAGTCGACACCTATAAAGCGAGGGATGACTCAGCCTGCCAGCATGCCTTCTGCTACGTCCTCAATCACTTCCCGAAAAATACAGAGACACCCTCTCTCATGCCCAAGTGACTTCCCCTCCAGTCGTCAGCCGTCACCTATAAAGCGAGGGATGACTCGGCTCTTAGCCTGCACTTCACCACCCCCTCCCTATGCTTGGCTAGAAGTGACCCATTTATCCCCATGACAGAGATATATACAGGTAGACTTCTAACCTCAAGGGAGGCCAAGCTCAATCTGAGGCCAAGCTCGATCTAAGGCTGGCTTACTTCCCCTCTTTCTCTCTAAGAAAGGAAAAGAACACACGGTTCTTCATCTACACAGAGGAATACACACAAATCCTCTATAACGGCACATCACCACCTCAAGAACCACATCAGTTCCTGACCTTTCCCTTCCCCGCTCGAGTTTCACTAACTTGACCGTCGGAGGAACCACAGGGGAACCGATCCCCGCCCTCTCGCGGGTTCTTCTTGTCTGTGCAGCGTGGACTTCAGCCTCCCATTTAAGAACCAGACATAAAGTCGGAGAAAGAAGCGACCTCTTCATCAACCTCCTCTACCTCGTCCCGGCGAGGACCCAGGAGGAACCGATCCAGTTTCGGATCATAACAGATCCCATCCCGGATCCGATTGACTGTTTGGTCTTAGTCATCAATATATATATATAATTTTCTTACTGAAGTATATCTGTATACGTACCCGTAGTTGGTCAACAAAATATGGATATGATAAGTATCATATCTAAGCTATATTCGGACTGTGTGCACCCTTAGTAAAGAGTGCAAAGTTTACCCGTTTACGCTGATATAAGATTTGAGTTCATATTCAAGTTTGAATCCGATACCAAAGATGATTCAAATTCTATTCGATTACTTATTTAAACATCCAAAAATCTGTTCGCAAATATGCAATTCATGAGAAATCATTACCGTGAAGGGTGGAGAGAGAGGGGAGCTACAAATTATATTCGCGAACACATCCACGTATTAATGAACTCTATTTGTACCGTGTGAACTATAATTTTTATTATCTGGTTTTCTCATATGCACAATAGATATCTAATATTAGCGGATATGAATATAAAATTCTCTTACAGAAAATGTATTCATACTCGTGTCCACAATTGACAAGTGGGAGCTGGACATGATACATAGCACACGCGAGCCGTATACGAACCGTCTGCGCGCCAATCTCCGCACAAAAGGCTTCCGCAGCCTCAATAGTCAATAGCCATATCCAGTTCAACCGCGGTTCACCAATCCCTATAAGGCATTTCTTCAAACACCTTGGCACTCGCAAACTCATCTCCAGCTTCCCCAAAATCCACCGTGCTTTTCTCGATAAAACCCTACAGCCCAATCTCGACGATCTTCGCTGTGACGAGCCCTTTCTCCGTACTAGCAACAATGTTTATGCGATGGAGGTATTAAAATCGAATATTTTTCTCCCCCTTCGTACTCAGAATCCATGAAATTTAAGTTGCTGCTTGTGTCGGGTGTCGAGTACAATTTATAGACTGTGAATGCTGATTTCAAAGCCATCACATGTTGTAATTCTTTGAAATTTCAGCATATGCTATTTCTTGCATATCTCACTGTAAGTTTCTTAAGTATTGCGCGTATGTAATTCACTTGAAAAGTGTTAATTAAATTGTTTACTGGTCATTGTATTATTGAAAAAAATATTGGGTACTAAATCTTTCATATTTCAAAGGCTAGACGACATCTTGTGATAGAATGCTCATGCATTTAATGTTTTGGTAATCCTAAATTCTTATTTGCAATTTTTTTTTCGATTTTTCTTCTTCGTCTTGTTAGATTTTAGGATAAAGCAACTTTTTAAAGAAGTTGCAGACTTCCAGTATGATGATAACTTTGTAAGCAGGGACATGAGAGCATCTGACAGGTTTTCTCTGGATTTTATGTGTAGCTAGCGTATCTTGTTCGTAACATAACCTAATCCTTTTTCCTAGCAACATCGTTTCAAGCTTTGATGTTCGCTCTATCTGTTTCGGATATTGACATGAATTATTGAAAAAGAAGCCATGTTGATTCCAGGTTCAATCATTCAGTGATCTTTCCTTCAGGAACTTAGAAGTTAGATCCAGTAAGTTATCGATAAAGAAGTAACTAATGTGATTTTGTAGCTAGTTTATGGTCGGGTAAAGCAAAATCTTAGACCACTCCCTTAGTTTCATGAACTACATGAATTAGTCACGGATAATAATTTCCAGACGGCAAGAATATCTAGTGCAGAAAAAACAATAAGAAATATCTCCGTCTCTATTTTTGCAGCTTTTTAGATTTTAGCTGGGCACAAAATGTGGTTAGCTCTAGGAAATGGAGGTCCATGATGATACGAGTCGCCGTGCGAGCACCTTTGATCGCGGAATTATCAAAGGTAGGTTGAGAAGAAAATAACAAGAACAATTCAGTGGTGGCGAAGGAAAATACCTTTTCTAGATTATGAGAATAAAATAGTTTACAATTTCTCACAAGCTTACTAGAATTGAAGAACAATCTCTCCAAATACAATCTAATCTCTCTTGATTGCTTTCTCTTTCTTTTTTTTTAAACCCTAAAACAATCCCTTATATAGGTGTAACAACATGGATGACAAAGTGGTAAATAACCAAGCCCAAACCGCACAGGAATTCGTACAAACAAAAACCCAAACGAACCAGAAAATCGTCGATGAGTCGACTCATAAACATGCATGAGTCGACTCATGCCAAGTGAGTCGACTCATGATGAGGTGAATCGACTCGTCAAAAACTTTCGACAAAACGGCTGAGTTTCGTGAGTCGACTCATGACAGGCATGAGTCGACTCAACCTGATGAGTCGACTCATGTACATGTATGAGTCGACTCACGGGCTAAAAACTGGATACTTCGATTCTTTGATTCGTCGTCTCGTTCCACGCTTCAACCTGCGTTCCACTGTGTTGTTTTACCCCTCTATTCTCAAGTTACCATGAGAATCATTTATCCTCAAGCTCCCATGATGATCGCTAAGTTCCGAAGAAAAGATACACCCGTATCATGGGTCCCCCTTTAGGAACTTAAAGTCTCATTCAAGTTAGAACTTCAGCTGAGGAAACTCACGAGCTTCTCCATTCTTTCTGTACCACCTGGCGTTGCTAGGAACCTGATATCGACGTATAACTGGAAACGACTCCTTCGTTCCTCGCCTCACCGTAGTCGTCTTTCGCTCCAATATACAACTCATTTTCGATGGCTCGTCATGAAGTCTAATGCACAGCGAGACGAACTTCTTGCTTGCATTCACTAGCCTCTTCGCTCGCGTCACCGTCACCAAGTTTGCCTCCCTCGGAAGAGACGCCGAACGAAATATGAACTTTTCATCATCCTTGGTGAATGTGTATTTCTGAGTCCGCCTTTCGTAGATCGCAAACCTATCCCATAAATAAGGATTGCCTAATATTACTTGGCAAACATCCAACGGAACGACGTCGCATATGACCTCGTCAATATACGACTCGTGGAGTGCAAATCTGAAAGTGCATTGGTTGACCACACTCAATCCCACCTCCTTCTGAATCCACCCTAAAGGATAGAGTTTCGGATGTTTAACCGTCTTTAATCCCAGCTTCTGAATCAATGCCTCAGATATCAAATTTTTCTGGCTCCCTGGTTCCACTAAGACATCAACCAAGCTGGTCTTGACCTGCAATTTTAAAACAAAGAACTGCTCCCTCGGGTCTTCGTCCTCAATCGTGGTCTGCTTCCCCGTCATAAGGTTGAAACTGTTATTGGGTTCTGTCATCCCGGAAACTTCCTTCGGACCCTGAACTACTACATATGCCTTCTTCTCCTCCATTTTCTTCAATCCTTTTGGCTTCAGATGAGGATATTTCTCCCAGTAACGATCAGCTACGTGTCCTATCTGTTTGCAGTGATTGCATGTCAATCCTGTATTCCCCGAATCATCCTTCTTCTTCTCTTCCTTAGGCTGAGAGCCACTAGACTTACCTCCCGTCTGTTTGGAGTCTCCTTTCATTTCGTTGTCCTTCTTTCGCCTGCCCTCAATGGCAATGACCTTCACACTCGCTTCTGCCATGGACTTGACTGTGAACAACTTTATCTTTTTTCGGATATATTCATTCAGACCCGCCATATACTTCATAAAGATGAAATATTCCTCCATCTCGATGTTGAGAACCATCGCCTGCTGCTGGAACTCCGTCGTATATTCTTGAACGGTCTGGTTGAACATTTGGCGCTATCCGTACCACTTATATTAATGCTCCTCAAGGAACCCTACTGGGTAGAACTGTTTCTTCAGTAGCTCCTTGAATTTGTTCCACGACATCGCCTTTCGTTCCTACTTGCAATAGGATTTCCACCATGTCAATGCATGTCCCGAAAGCTTTAAAGTCGCGAACACAAGCTTCTCCTTGGATGAATATCCGTAAAGGGTAAAATACATCTCCATCCGCTCGATCCAATCATCAAACCTCTCGACGTTGATACTCCCATCATAAACAGGAATCTCTACCTTAAAGTTTATCTTTAAATTCTGATAAGAACCCTTACCCCATTAATGCAGAACAGTTTTGACAATCTCAGCCTCCCTATTAGAATCAGATTCCTCGCCTTCTCCATCGGACTCCATAAGTTTCTTCTTGCCTTTCGAAGAAGATTCCTCTTTTTTGTTCTTTTCTTGGAAGATATTGATGAGCTGTGTGAGAGTCGAACTCATTGTCTCTATCTGTTTCTTCAGCGCATCTAGCCTCGCTGAACTATCACCTTCAGTCATCTTCTTCTTCCTTAATTTCTGGACTCCTTCCAATGAAATAAGGATCTCGCCTAGCTTCTTGAATTGCGATCGAGTTAGGACCATACACAGGATACCCCTTTACAGGATCAGATCGTTCTGATACCAACTTGATACGAGTCGCCGTGCGAGCACCTTTGATCGCGGAATTATCAAATGTGGGTTAAGAAGAAAATAACAAGAACACAAAAACAATTCAGTGGTGGCGAAGAAAAATACATTCTCTAGATTATGAGAATAAAATAGTTTACAATCTCTCATAATCTCACTAGAATTGAAGAACAATCTCTCTTAATTCTCAAATACAATCTAATCTCTCTTGATTGTTTTCTTATTCTTTTTTTTAAAACCCTAAAACAATCCCTTATATAGGTGTAACAACGTGGATGACAAAGTGGTAAATAACCAAGCCCAAACTCTACAGGAATTCGTACAAACAGAAACCCAAACGAACCAGGAAACCGTCGATGAGTCGACTCATAAACATGCATGAGTCGACTCATGCCAAGTGAGTCGACTCATGATGAGGTGAGTCGACTCGTCAAAAACTTTCGACAAAACGGCTGGGTTTCGTGAGTCGACTCATGACAGGCATGAGTCGATTCAACCTGATGAGTCGACTCAACCTGATGAGTCGACTCATATACATGTATGAGTCGAATCACGGGCTGAAAACTAGATGCTTCGATTCTTCGATTCGCCGTCTCGTTCCACGCTTCAACCTGCGTTCCATTGTGTTGTTTTACCCCTCTATTCTTAAGTTACCATGAGAATCATCTATCCTCAATCTCCCATGAGGATCGCTAAGTTCCGAAGAGAAGATACACCCGTATCACACGACTCCGTGTATGGTTATTCAAAGATCAATCGGAGATCGTGAATGTTAGTTAGCAGTAGATAGTGTGCCTGTGGATTCTAATTATCCTACACATGATTGAGGATCCTATGGATGTTGTCTAGCCACAAAATTCCCATTGTTTTTTGCATAAAAGTGATAGTGCATGTTTTTGGTTGGTTTCAGTGCTGGTGCTAAGAAGAGGCCCATTGGTTCTCATCTGTGTGAAATCTCCCTCCTTGTTTCTCAAATACTCAAACTTAATCTACTGCTATTATAAATGTATCTTGTATGCTAAAAGATTGTTTTCCACAATGCCCTCCAAATTGTATCCGAACTCACCAAATGGCCTTCAATTTGTATTCAGATTCTCATCCAATTTATTCCATCTATTGCATCATCATTATTGCAATTGAAATTTAGTCAATATAATTAATAAATTGCAATTTTGATGAGTCATAATGCATGACTATTCAATTTTTAATAACAAACCGAACATTATACTATAGTTGAAAATCTGAAATTATTCTGTACATGATCGCCTCGCCTGAGTGCCTGAGGTGCCAAGGCATGACACTTTTAAAATTCTGCTGCCAGTTGATTATTTAATTTTATCTCTGACTAGAAAGTGAGATCACGTGCTATTTTTCAAGCACGGACTTCAAGTGATCGCTGTTTCTAGCATGGAGTTCGGTGGATCCCTATTTGACATCCGCAAACTATAAGTATTTCTAAGTCAACCTCTGTTAGTCTGATGTATGCGAACAGTTTATGTCATCTAAATTATTGTAAAGGAGACATGCTTTGGACTATCTAAATCATTTGAATCAACTGCCACTAAAAGTTGTTTTTTTTAATCTATTTCATTCAATCAAATTTAAGCACCTAGAGATGTCTGATACCCTGTGCCGCTCAGGGAACTTTTATTTAGGAGCAGACAATTAATTCTCAATGTTTTAGTGAATGGTGAACCACACAGCTCAACATTATTTATTCAGGATCGTATAATTTACTCCAAAACAAGAAGTGAATCCATTTTGGAGTTTCCCACATATGAATTGAGTTTACTAATAAATGGTTTTGGATTTAAAAAATGAATATCTGATGTGATTCTTTTGTTTGTGGGGAGCATCCAAATCTGCTAGGCGTTAATGGTATGTGAGCAAGTTTTCTTAAAGTTTTACAGATGAAAGCACAGAGTCACCTCAGTGTTTGAACTTGTGATATATTGCCTGCCATCATCTCGGCATCCTCTTCAAAATGTGTGTACCAAATGCATAAAGTTTTTAGTCCTAGAAAATATCCAAAATTCTGATATCAGGATTTGTGGCTGTGTACCATGGGCTTTATAAATAATAATGTGTTTATTATCTTACAAAATTAATTAACCAATTGATTCATAGTTTATAAAATAGGTATAGACCTTTATGTGACATCATTGGGGTTTGATATGAGTGATATAGGACCACCAGCACTGGGCTAGAGAAGCAGGAGCATATTCAGATAACGACTTGATGTGTGCCAATATTTTTCTTTCTTTCTTTTTTTTTTCTTTCGTTGGAGAGTAATTTCTATGCGCTAAAATGTCCAGTAGCCAAGTTGTGAGTATCTGCGTCATCAAACAATTGAAATAAGAAGTACATCTGAGTTGAGTAACACAGTGAACCTTGTTCTATAGGGTCGATAGACTCGATACGGTAGAAATTGAGCTTTCACAGGAAATTCTGAATCTCATTTCCATTTTAGGTAGCTGCTCGTTTGTGCTCATACACTTTTTATAACACTTCTGTTCTATTGCTAATCATTTATTTGCATTCAATTTTACCCACTATTTTGCAATGGTGTAATTGGTAGTGTTGAAGATGTAGTCACAATATTGGGCAAGCATATTGTGGATTTACCCGAGTCAGTATAGTCATAGTGATTGGCTCCTCCTTGACCGTTGAGTTCACAGATGCACAGAATATTGGGTCCAAGCTTATGAGCATCACTTTTAAGGAAGAAACACAGTGCCATTAATGCTCAGATTGATTTATCTGCAATTTCATCTTATGATTTGTCATGGTTCATTTAACTGTCATCATTTTCCTGATTGCTTTATGTTGGACTATAAGGTATTCAAAATCACAAGCCAAATATTCTGACCCCTTTAATTGTTATTTCTATGAAGGTTCTGCAATTCTTCTAAGAAAAGAACTATAGTTTTCAGTTAACCGTGGCGCTTATTCTATACAGTTGAACACACTAACTGTAGCGGCTTGAAGTATGAACTTCAGGCCAAACCAGTTTGTGACCAAATCTTCTTGTTGTTGATATTTATTCGACAATGAAAAGTTATAACTTATAACATGGCGCAAAGTGATAATTTAGCTTTATGTATTAATATGTGCTGTCTACAGTATGAGTTAATTTCAATTTCCGATTCATTTTCTTTAATTAGTTCCTGTTCATCAGACTCTTGTCAATAGTCTTTTTTCCCTGTCCTTTTCTTTTGTTTTCTTTTCTTTCTTTCTTCTTCTTTTTTTTGGGAGGGTTAGCAGCACTGGAATATTCAGTTGTGTAATTATCCTGTAAAAAAATTTGCTATCATTTATCAATCACTAACTTGAGAGAATGTAATTCTGCCATTGTATCAGGATTTTGGATAGTCATCCCTTTTATATCTTATGATTTGTCTTTTCATTGTTTAAAATCATGAGCTCAGTTGATGTCCTTGTAATTTCAGTTTAAGCCTCAGATTCATGAATGTATACATCAGATGTTATACTTAAAAACATTTATATTCATTGTGTGTGTGTGTGTGTGTATCCTTTAATCTTCTTGCTTCTTCTATAGCCAGATAATGTACTGACCCCTCCTTTTTTCCTTTTTCTCAGGACAAGGATTCTCGATTTGTGATAACACTCTTACAGCGATAATTTTATATTCAAGACTGCTGTTTTGCGATTCACTTTCGATTTTGTGCGTATAGCATTCAAGATTGTGGAATTCTGAGGATCTCAACACTCAACTTGAGGTTTTTCCGTATTTTAGTATTTAGTATTAGCTCCATTCCGTATCTTCATATGTCAATTCCATGCGCTCCGTAACATACCTCTTTCTTACATTTTGGTTTTCTGATCATTCAGGTGAATAATGGGAATAATTACTAATTAACTAGGCTACAATCACTCGTTACATGATCAATCAGCATACTAGCCTTTTCAATCAACGGATGCAACGTTATGATGAAGTTCCTTTTCTAACGCATTTCTTGGCTTGCTCTTGGTTCTAATGACTTAGAACTCATCCAAGTAGAAGAAAGAACGATACCTAAATCTTCAAGCACTGACATGAGCTATCAAATATATCCATCCAAGACAATTGTGTACATCAATAGATTCTCTGATTTTGTGTAACTTGATTATGTCCATAAAAATTTACAAATTCCTGCTTCCATACAACAGATATTTTTTTGCTAACATGAGATGCTATTTTACACATGAATATTCTGAGTTGAAATTTCACTGAACAAGAAAAATGCTGCATCTGTAGAAGTACAAACTGTGTTATTGCAGGTATCCAACAATACACTAACCTCTGCACACATTTGCTGATCATGAAGCGCGTCATTTTTCATTAGGAAACAAGATAACAACTTTTTCCATTGTAAGAAGTTATCAAGTATAATTTTGATCATACTCTTTTTTCAGCAAACCCGCAATTGTTAAAAGCTGTTTCGAACCAGTAAGAGATGTCCTTTACTCCATTGATTAATTTAGAATCGAAAAATTAGAAAGCTGCATTTGCACCTTGCTTTATGATGCAACCTCATCTTTTTAAGTTTTAAGCATAGAAATTGTTTGTACAAACTAACTTGTACAAAGATCTTTTCTAGAAAAAAGTTATATAAAGTCATTAGCAAGAATTGTGTATTGGCATGTCGTGCATGTGCGGATAAGTATTTACAGGACTTATTCTGCAAAAACTGTTAAACACCAGTACCATCTAATCAAACAAATGGAGATTTCATCAAGAAAAATGTACATTTATAAAGAACATTAGATATTTATTTCTCGAGAAACCAATATGAGTGAGATACAAATCATATTATAGCCTATACACAACACATGCAGTCATTATTATTTTTTCTCTTCATATACATCACTTATATATCTAATATAGTGTTGGCTAATACAGCCATAGAATCACTGTTTAGATTGATGAATCTATGCATTCGTTTTCCCAACTTCTCTCTACATCCAAACACACACCACAAAAAAAAATGTGCAAGTGGCTTTAACTGCGGTGTAATTTGCATGGTAGGTACAACGCTAGAAAGAACAAATTTTCACTTCAGCCTCATTCTAATTTTTTATTATTGAAATCGATCCATTTTTTTATTACCAAAACCGACCCGATTTCGTGATTAGCAACTTAATCACCTTCCTAATTAGTCGGGATTGCCAACCCCGACTATTTAGGATATTAATTTTTAGGGTTTAAGGCTTCTAATTAGGGTTTAACACCTTCGACTATTTAGGATATTAATTTTTAGGGTTTAAGGCTTCTAATTAGGGTTTAACACCTTCCTAAATAGTCGGGGTTACCAACCCCGACTAATTAGGAAGGTGATTAAGCTGCTAATCAAGAAATCGGGTCGGTTTTGGTAAATAAAAAAAGGGTCGATTTCAATAATAAAAAAAATTAAATGGAGCTGAAGTGAAAAATTGTTCACGCTAGAAATTGTAGGGTGTATGTGTTGCACTTGCAGAAATGCATGGTAAATTTAGTCCAACAAATGACCTTTACTATTCAATATGATCTACATGTTTCAAAATGCATGCTTTTATCATGCATCACATGATCCTCAATTGAATCTTTACCATCAAAGGTAAAATGTTTATTTTTTTTTCCTATCTAAAATTTAAGGGTATTTATACTTTCTCCTTTAGCCAAACCGTTCCATTCCACCTCAATTTTCATACCTATCTCATTTGAAATTGATGAATCAGTTTCACATTTCCCCTTGCTTTCATCTTACTTCATTAAGATCACAATCTTCACCTTCAGTATACATTACACGATGCACCCAAGTTCAATATTTAAATATTGAACTTATTGATTATAGCAACACAAGAAGCTAGCTAGCTTTAAATATTTGCGGAAAAGAAAAATGACTGCTACTAGCACATTCAGCCAATCTTGCCTAAAAATTAGGATTAATCTTGCCTAGAAGTTATGCAGATAATTTAGACTGCTACTCGTGTAAAAACATAAGCATGTGATCAATCTCTTTCATGCTGAGAACCGTAAGCAAGTTTTATAAACAATACAAGAATCGTACTTTTATAAAACAACCAATCTGTCCACGCCTCAGGACACACGAATGAATTGACTAATTTAACCTGCAACAGAAAAGAATTGATATTAGAATGGCTTCTGTATGATAAATCAAGTAGTCCTAGCGTGTGTGTGTGTATAAATTAAACCTGGAAATAAGAATAATAAAGGATATTAATTGGAAAATACAACATTCTCATACCAAACAGCCAATGATCCAATGACTAAAGAATTGCAGATCAAACTTGAAATAAGAAGCATTGTTGTAATTAGTAAATGAGAAATTCAAAAGGCCAAGCAAAAAAAAAAAAAAAAGGTGACAGGAATAGACATCTATTGATAGCTAGCTATACTTAAAAAAGATAACATATAATAACCAGTAAATGAAAACTGAATCCTTAATCATTTTCATGGTCGAAGGATCCCACCTGGGGTGTTTTAGCTATTTGGAGAAGAAATGTCTATAGATGGGGATCTTAAAATTTCAGTACGCTACCAAGTCTGAAGGGAAAAAGGAAGCTAGCAATAAAAGAACTGTTATTTAATTCTAGAGCAACTTACAGTGATATAGGGACTTGGAAATAAGAAATAACACAAGACCTTGAAAGATCTTAGAATGAAAAATGAACTCCGATAGAAATGAACAAAATGTACTTGGAGCATTGTACTATTACGTCAATCTGAAGTTTTAAAAGGAAAAAAAAAAGAGAACTAAATTTAATGCGATATAGTTAGAACGAAAGCAAAGCTCACCATTTCTCTTCCAATTTCAGATATTATACTAATTATTAGATATGAATAAAAGGACTAATTAAAAGAAGACAAATTAAATAGCCAAAGAACTTGAACATCTTGAGCATTGTCATCACAAGGCCTAGCATGGGAAGGAGGAAGCAAGATGTAGCCAAAGACAACTTGCCGATTTCCTTGTAAAAATGACTTCTAAAATCGAACAAACTCTAAGAGTCGGCAAGTCATCCTTGGCTGCAACCATACTTCCTTAATCTCCATGCAAGGCTCAAGATGACCAAAAGAATGTGATCAAAGAGAAGAAGGAAATGGAATCCAATGAACAATAAAGGATGAAGAGAGGTTCAAGGTTCTTATATAGAGTAATATGAGGGGGTTGATGGATTGATTGAAATATTACAGTTTGCTGCATTTTTCCTTCATCAAGATGCTTCATTAAGATGATGGAGGACAGGTCCTAGAAGGATTTAGTTTTGGCCCAATAGAAATGTGATAAGCCCCCCACTATCTTTTTCCCTCTCTCTATATATTATATTTAATGTGCATCTTTCTATAGTCAGACAAGATTAGGCCAACTTGGTAACTAATTTAATGACTTCATGATCTTATTAGTCGTAATTTAAACTTGAATGAGCAATATATTATCTGTGCACTTCCTTACAGGAACATTACTGTAGAAGATTGCTTTTGAAGTTGCACACGATCATTTATTTTTTGGGTTAATTTTTAAACCCCCCTCAACTATGGGGTCGTGTCATAAAACCCCTCTCAACTATTTTAACTTTAGAAACCCCCCTTAAATTAATTATAGAGTTATTGTAGATAACCCTCTTTAACTTTCGAAATGTTATTTACCCCCCTTAACTTTTCTTACTTAACCCCTTAAACTAGTATAATTTAAATCTAAAGCAACAAATGATTTAAAAAGATCATACCATCCCTAATACATTAATTTTTTTACTATATTGTTTCCTTTTTAACTTTTTTTTTTTGTTAAAAATAACTTTCATTTTATTCCCCCCTTTTCCTATTCCTCCATGCCCATTGTTAGGTTTACGTGCAAATCTATTTCTTTTTTCTTTTTCAAAACACTAAATTTCTTTTATTTTTTGCTTAAAACTTCTTTTATTTTGTGCTTATCCATGATTGTAATGTTTGAAACAATTGAAACTTTTAATTTTTTTGAAGATTAGTTCCTCATCAAAACTCATCAGACCGAAGTCTAATATTTTGATTGGGTTGGGTTCTTAAACTTACATGAAATTTTTCCAACCAAGGGTATTTTGCTCATTGCATATTTCAAATTAATAATATTAAGGGGGTTATTTGAAAAAATGAGAAAAATAAAAGGGGTTTTTTTTTGTTATACACCCCATAGTTAAGGGGTTTACTCATATTTTAAAAGTTGAGGGGGGTTATCTACAACACCCTCAAATTTGAGGGGGTTTTCTAACGATAAAATAGCTGAGGGGGTCTTCTGAGACAAACCCTATAATTGACGGGGGTTTTCTAAAATTAAACCTTATTTTTTTTCATTAAGAAACCGACATTAATTGGTTTTGGGACTAGTAAATTAACTTCTTCAGCTGTTTTGGGAGCTCTACAGCTTCACCAAAGGTCACTATCAAAGGAGGTTGATCAATGAAAGATCAAAGTAAAGTAATAAAGTGTGACGAGGATCTGATAACTACATGATTCTCCTATAAATGGATATGTGCTTTTCTTACTACTGTATGTACAAATGAGAAGTGAATGAGAGGCCCTTTTCATATGCACATGCAGTAGGGTAGGAATGCATCTCAGGCTTAGTACATGAGATAACATGGTGAATCTAGGGAGGAGAGATTTGCCTTTCTTTAACAACTTTAACACTGAACACTTTGTCTAAGGAAGTAGCTAGAGATGTTGCCCATTTCCCTTAATTGGTTTGCCAAAAGAAAGTAAAAGACGGTAACCATTTTATCTCAGAGGTGTCACTTTCTTGTGCAATATACAATATATTTGAAATTTTGAAAGCAATGGCTATGGAGATCACAGGTAGCATCAGAGCCTTCTAGTGTGTGATACCATTCACTCATTTAGTGAAGGTAATAAAACATTGTCATCTTCACCTTATCTTGAGTAATTGGATTGTGATTGAGAGAGGAGCAACTACCTCTAACCCCTATCTTTAATGGATTTGGGTTGAGGTTGAAATGGGGAAAGGCATACCACTAGTATAGATGATATAGAAATGACAAGAGCAAGTAGGTTGAGAAGAGACAATGAGAACAAAGAGAGAATATAAGGTAGGGCCAAATGAGGCACTTTTTGTTGCTTTGGCTAAGCATTGTGCGGAAAGGCAAGAGAATGTAGGGGTCCGTTTTGAATAGGAAATGAATTTGGTTTTAATTCAAATATGAACGATTTGTTTACTCTTTTAGGAGTTGCTTTTTTTTAAAGAAGAACCATGTAAGCTCTAATTGCTTTAATTAATGTTTACGTCGGAAATTGATTTCATTGTAGAATTAATTATAATTGTTTATTAATTACAGATTCAAAGAGAGTCTAGCCTTTTTATAAAACTTCTTGCTTACACAAATGAAATAGACAAAAATTTCCTAGAAACACACGCATGATCGTTTATCGGTTGCTGCTTGCGTGTGATCTTTGCCTGTGCCGGGGACGCTTTGATCCGTGGATCACCGAATAACAGATCCAGGTTGATCTGAAAGAAGGCTCGGTGTTCTTTGTTTCAATCGAGGAAACTTAGAACAGAAGTGAATAACCTCAACAAAGTGAGATTATCACTCTTCTCAAGATCAAAACAAGGTTTGATCTCAAGGAAACGGGTGGAAGGCTATGGATCTCTCGAAATTCTCCCTTTATGTTCAGAAAGTCACCAAGACCTCGCCTCTCTCTCTGTAAATCATAGCTCTGCTCTGGAAAACGTGGGTTCTCTCGCACGTTCGTCAGTATCCGTTAGTACCCTTCACAATTGCACGAATGGGGCTATTTATAGGGCTTGAACACCGTGTTTGTGGATAGGAATCTGCAATTTGAACCTATCTTCAGTTAGAAACGGCTCTCCCATGTTTAAGGATAACCCCAAGGCAGTTAGGAAGCCAATAGATAGCACGAAACCCGAAGAAAACATCGAGAACTGCGTCATCGGCTTCTTGGTGTGCGAGACACCCTGAGGTGTCTCACACTTCCGTGACACCCTGAGGTGTCTCGGAATCCGAGACACCCTGAGCTCGTCGTTTTGTCGTCCCGTCGCTTCTTCATTCCGTTGTTTCGTGCGTTTCTTTGCTTCCTTTAGGCATCAGATAATCTTCTTTGATTCGGATGATGACGTTCATCGCCTTTTCTTCATTTCGAGCTGTGTTCCGGGAACCTACAGGCTTGGTCCAATAGTTCAGGCGAGGTTCGATCAGGTCAGGGGGACTTCAGAACATGTTGCGAAGAACAGGTCATAACTTTCAAACCGTAAGTCAAAATTGGATGAATTATATATGAAAATCGCTTATCTCAACGAGGCGGGGCCAACCAAACCGATCGAAGTTAGGTTTGCCGCCGTCCGTTTCTCCAAATTCCCTCCGGTTTGAGAGATTTTAGCGTTTTCGTCATTTTTTAGCTTCTTTGCAATTTATAGGCAATTTTTTATGCCTACAATCAATAGTATTTCTCCTCAGTTTATTCTTTGTGGATTCAAGGAGCCCTTTGTTGGATTCGAGGTTTGTGTTAGTGTCGCTTAATTTTCCCCTGCTCTCATATGACACATTTGTGGATGAGGTGAGTCCTGATGCTCTTCCTCTTATTCGGACAAATACTAAGTGAAATCAAAGATCTAACATGAACTACGCTAGTGCATTGTCTTGTAATGTAATTAAGCTAAGGTGATAATTTGATTCTAAACATTTTTAAAAAGAAGATTTAAGAATCAAAATTTGCGTTGGTCGTTAAATAAATCAACCTAATATAGTTATTTACACAATTAAGCTGTGCCACATTTGAAAAATATCCTGACTCTGTCCATCATGCATGACATAAACCCATGAGGATAGCACATGGTTCTTCTTTTCTTCTTGGCGGGAACAAGAGATTGCCACAGGAGATGTTTCTTTAAAGGTTCAGATTATTTTTTTTATGGACACAACTCTAGGAATTATCAACCCATGTATCTGCGAGGACAAGGATCATACTTTGCAGCCAATAGAATACTCACCTATTTTCAGAAAATCAAGGAAAAAGAATGAGTTGGATCAGTAATATTATTATAAAAGAAAAATCATTGAAAATATCGGTACATAAAAATATATGTACAGGGTTAGAGACAAATCTAGGAACTCTCACCTTATCACTGTCAAGGGAGAGTGAGATGCTAATGACTAAGAAAATGTTCTCTCACAATATGCGATAATTAACACTAATTCTATACAAGCAAGTGGGGGGTGAGTTTTCAAAGCAGAGGATAGCATCTCAAGCAACATTAAATTTGGAGTTAAAAGGTTGCTTAAGATTTTAAAGGGCAAAACAAGGGGTGAAAATGGTAAGGAATCTAATGCTTCTTAACTTTTTTTGGAACTCTTAAGGGTACATGAGTTTCTTTTACTAGTTTATTAAATGGGGGTACGCATAAATAATATTAATTAAACATTTCATACGTTAATATTCATAGATCAACTGATAAGTATGTAAACATTAAATTGATATTAGTTTGTGGTTTATGATCTCTATTTGCTCCAATTCTTACGGGCATACTGTTAAAAAGTTATCTTTTTTTTATTTTAATTGTTTACATATTTTTCTTTTATTTGATTCATTTTTAGCCACTCATTCGAATCACTTGGAAGTGTAATTAGAATTCACTGTAAAGCTAAAATGTACATTAATTTATGCAGAGAGCTAGAGAGAGCCCACGGTAGAAATCCACACACTGAAAATTGGACTTGACATGCATTCTATTTGTATGATTTACAAATCAGTGTAATTAAACTGTTGAATGTTACTTCATTAATCAATATATTTTTGAGTATAGTTATCAACTTTAAAATATAATGCTAAAATATGCATCTTGTTCCACTTTCTTGCCGTCTGATTTTCACTCTATAGTATTTTTTTTCTTCACATAATAGTTTACGTGAACACTTTACTCGAGAAAACTATCTTTTCATCGAAATGGCAATCATTGAAGATATTGGTACTCTGAGTTAAAAATGCATCAATGTAAATTTGGACAAACAGCAAAATTTTCTTCAAAAAGGATTCCCATTCTTATGTCAAAAATGATACGGCACATGGACCACTCAATCAACTTTCAATAATTATTGAATCATTGAAGTACTTGTATGAAAAATGGTAGTAAAATGGAAAGTAACAATACTGGAATTTTACATGATTTCACATGGATTTGGATTACCAGGGAGGACATTCTAGCTAGTACGTTTTTACTCTAAAGCATCTTTCTTGGGTACTGCGAGAAAATGTTCATGTACTGGGAAGAAATATGGACGTTGTTTACTTCTGGCATTAATATAATTGTCATTGAGTTGCTTTGTTGAAATAAATGAATCTTAGAGGATTTTTATGGAAAGATATCATTTAATAATTGAATTTCGTAGATAAAAATTAAATTGTGTTTAATAAGTAGCATGTGAGTTTTAGTCTCACATTGGCTAATTAAATGCATTTTAGTTGGTTCAAATTAACACAAGTGTTATATATGGTATAACAAAGGTGTTAGTAATATACACTTGTGTTGGTATATAAGCGAGCGTGCGAGCAAGCAAGCGTGCGAGCAAGTGAGCAGGCTCGTGCGCAGTCCGGGTGCGTGTGCTCACTTAAAACCATCTGAACGTTTTATATGTTACAAACGTTACAAGGATTGAATAGATTTTATTGCAGACGTTACAAACATTGTAATAACTGGAATTCAAATCTTTGTCTCCCATGAACCTTATGAAAGTGCTTCTTCTGATCATTTGAGACACATAGAAAAACGAAATCTCATGTCTTCTTCTTCTTTTGATAATTCTATATGTTGTTAAGTATTGGAGGTTCTAACAAACTGAAGAAGTAGTCGTGATGTTCACCATAAGAGAGCGCTTCTTTGGACTGCAGCCATCTCATCCTCGGAAGTACTGTGCAGACCTAATGCTACCGTAGGTGGAGCATATTTTTTCAAGGCCAGTCCTCTGTTAAGAGGGCGATTCGGCACTTTTGTAAAATATTTTAAACTTGAAGTGTTTTAATATGATGTTTTTAACTTTCTGCTCTTTTCTTTCATTCATGTATTGTTTGTTCTATACTACTTTGGATCTATTTTTATGCTTGTTTTCCCCAACAATCTTGAAGAAACTAATTTTAATTGAAGTTATGTTGTTTATTTCTAGAGTTTGTTCATATGCCTCTAAAATGAACATGTCTGGAATGCTTAAAAATTTTGTTGGACAGTTCTTCAAATGTTGGCAACAACGTATGAAGATCTGGCTGACGACTAAGGGACTGTTGGCAATGATATTAACATAATGCCAAAAACTAAATGAAAAAGATGGTAATAGTACAGATAAAATTGCACAATGGACGGAGAAGGACCAAATAGCCAGAGGATGCATTTTGTTGGCTCTGTCTAACGTGCTCTTCGATGTCTATTGTTCTTTTTCAGCCACTACAAATGCATTATGGGATGAACTGGACAGAAAATATAATACTGAAGACCTCGGTCTTGAAAAATATTATGTGTCCAAGTTCTTAAAGTTTTAAATGGTTGAGGGTAAATATGTAACATAACAAGCACATGAACATCTGTTCATTCTTCATGCTCTGCGAGAAGCTGAAATGAGACTTACTGAAAATTTTTTAAGTTATGACAATTATCGAGAAAATTTCTAATTCTTGGGAGACTTTTGGAATATGTCTCAAGCATTCGGAAAAAATAAATCTTGATGACTTGATGATTGCCATAGCTATTGAGGAAGAACATAAGAATCAGAAACATGTTGTGCCTGTTGAGCACCAACCTAAAGCACATATTATAACTTCTGGGAAAAAGCTTAAAAACTAACCTAATGGCAAACCTGATGATGAAATCAAATCCAAATCTAAGATCCAAAAGAAACCAAAAGCAAACAAACCATGTTAGAATTGTAGACATGTTGGACATTGGGCTAAAGCTTATCCTACAAAGAAAGCTAAAGCCAATCCAGGGTCCACTAGTGTGCCTCAGGTTAACATGGTTATGACTGAGCCTAATGGGTCCATAGAATGATATGTTTCTATTAACACTGAATTACTAAATATTTATGAACCAAATGAATGGTTCGTAGACACTGGTGCAAACATACACATTTGTGTTGACAAATTATTATTTGTGTCGTACCAGCTTGCAAATAGAAATACTGTGAAGATGGGGAACTAAACTGCATCTAAAGTGTTAGGATATGGACGAGTGGACCTGAAGTTTCATTCAGGGCGAGTTCTATCATTACACATGGTGCATCATGTTCCTGCTGTTCGACGCAACATTATCAGTGGTTTTTGTTTAGTTAGGGACGGTTATGAGTTCTCTTTTAAATGTAATAAAGTAGTTATGTCACATGTTGGATCTTTTATCTTTAAAGGCTATGATTTTGCTAGAATGTACAAGGTTAGAGCAGAACATGTTCTTAGTTTTGAAATACATAAAATATCTGTTTTTATGCTTATTTTTCCCAACATGCTTCTCTTTTTCTGTAACGAAATAGGGTAAGATGGATTCCCATTCATATGTTAAGTGTTCTCCTTGTGTTAGCTTGATACGCCCTTATCGGTATACAAATCAATAGCTGGGGTTTTTGATAAACTGCCCCTCGACACATTAAGAAAATATATCTATCACGCATCTTTTGTTTTCTTACTTTAAAACAGAGACCACTTCTTTTGCACATTGAAATCGTAACACCCCCGCGTTTCTGGTATGTATTTTTTTCGAAAGAGAGATTTGCTTATCTCTGACATACGTGATGACGGTTATGATTATTATTACCACTTATAATAATCTCAAAGACAATTTTTGTAGACAACCATGGGGGCAGCACAAGAAGACAGGGGCGGCAACGGTACAGCGATGCTTGAGCTGGGAATCTGTTGAGAGAGAGCGTGAAAAGCATAAAAACAGGAAGCAAATTGGTAGTATTATAACGCTACAGATAGAGGGGGCAAAAAAAAAAAAGGTATAGGGATGGTGGAAGTAAGCATGTGGATGTCATAAACGGTGACGGTGGTGGGTACTGAGTCTGCTCTCTGCACCGCACGCGGTGGAACTTGTGGGAGTGAGAGTGACGTTGTGCATCGATTCTGTAGTAGCAGCGCAAAGGCCAGTGATTTACAGGGCTTCGATTGTCTCTCCACTGCTTTGTTTTCCCCTGCTTCCAAGCATCACAAACACCGTCAGGAATCATGCCGCACCGCGCACTCAGATCGTGGAGGTTTCTATGGCTGTAAAGGGGTTGTCTAGTTTGCTGCACTCGTAATTGTAATTTGTGATCGTGATATGAAGAAGCAGTTGCATACGAGTGCAGCGTGGGCGCGGTTACTTGATTCAATTTTAAAATTTTACAATTAGGACTATAGTTGAACGCGTTCTTTTCGTATAGTCGAGTTTTTATAGATTTTTGTCAAGTGTAGGTTAAATGGAACCGCATTTCGTTCGAAAAGTTACAGTTATGGTTTACGTTCAGATTTGTGCAGATGCATTCCTTAGACACGGTGAAACAAACAAATTCGGCGGTCTAAAATATTTGAGTTGTACACAACTACAGTTGTAACTCACATGCACTTGCGACGAACCAGAGAGCCATAAGATCCTTTTGACCAACAAGACTAAGATACATGGCTTAAGAGAAGAACTATTAAGATGAATAATTTTTTACTGTGGTAAGTATAAATTTGAAGATCTACAATGTTACATATACATTTTTAATTGATTAAGCAGAAACTCAGCACACATTTCGATATAAAATGGCAGTTAACTGAGGAACTACTTGCTGCAGCTCTAACTAGACTGTAAAAGCAATCAAGACCAAAAGCAAGAACATAAATAGCAATAGCAACTATACAAAAATCAATTAAAAGCAAGATCACAAACCGTGAGGGCATAAAATATCATTCATTAGTAAACGAAGAAAAATAGAAACCCTCTCTGAGAGAACATTCACTCTTAGCTTATAAACTACTTTTCCCTACTTATTCTTTACACAATTTCGTCTTCCTAGCGGCAATCGGAGCAACTACATCAAAAGAAACGAACTAAAAAAATGAATTCTAACAGATATAAAGGTTCAGGGGCCTAAATGATTTACAAAGAAAACCCCAGCAAATAGTAATACCTATGCCAAGATTGTACTTTAGTACCCCAAACGCATTGTGATAATATCACCTCTCATTAACACACGCATTTCCACCGACTCAAATCAGGGAAGTTCAACGTATACCAGAGTCTGACAAGTAACCATAGCGAACCTCGTAATCATGCTAAAGAGTAATTTGGTGAACACCTGTATCCCTCAAAAAACAAAGGCATTATTGTATAAACTGCCAGATATAAGCAACAGGGAATAGTAAATCGTACAGTAGATATCATCAAATTCTTCGAAAGCATGCCCTATCCTTAGATACATTGTGCTGTAATAATCAAACATAGCTCCTCCTTTGGCTGTTCTTTATTGGGCTCTAAACAGAATGCATCATACATGAGAAAATGTATAAATAATATGAGACTAAATCTCAGAATCATGTAGCTGGAGCATCCATCTTTTGCCAAAGAAACTGAAAACTTCATAGCGTTATTGCAAGAAAAATCTTCAGCAAAGCATATTAAGACTCCGGGGGAGCCTCAAATCTCGTAGGAGTGTCAATTCCCATCATACAACAGAGGCCTGATATCAGTATAATAAGCAGTGTGATCGCCTGAAAAAAAGGGCATGAGGCAACTCCCATGTCAATAAGCGTAAGTTTATTTCATATAAACAAATAAACCAAACAAAATAATGTTTTCTATACAAGTCCCTCAAATTATCCATTTCGTCATACTAAAGCTTAAAAGTTTCCAATATTTAGTCCATCAAAATAATTTAAGTTACACAAATTAGCCCTAATGCAGGTTAACTATACAAAATGATGTTAGGACTCTCCCCCCCTATTAAATCAACCCACCCTATAAATCAATTGCAACCATCATCTTCCTCCACTTTCTAATTAATTGGAGGAAAATGTCAAATTTTGCAAAGAGAAAATGGGTTAGGTCTAAGGTATAAGCGAATTAGATTAGCTGTTTTAATAGTGTAGGATAAGGAAAGACGGACACCAGAGGAGACTGATGAAAGGAGAAAGCTGTCATAACACCATTATTTTCAGTAATTTTTTTTCTTCTAATAATGACATAAATGACTTGATGTAATCAAATCACTTGACTACCAATATCTTTTAGACAAATATTGTATTGTACACTGCCTAATTTTTTTACTTTGACATAATCTGAACTATGAAAACGAATATGTTAACTAACGATTAATAACAACATGCACTTGAACTTATCTATTAAGCTGCTTTAAGTCTTCACTGGCTAGAAAATGGAGCAATAAAGACCAAAAGAGATTTAAACGATAGCCTCATACAGTGGAGACAGAAGTAACTTACAACAAAAAGGCCTTCCAAAAGTGATGACTTAAGTTGGCAAACACCATCACAAAGAGTGACATTTGTAGAAACATTATCCTCTGCAAGAAACCTCATCACCAGGTGAGGGTACTGAACTGACCTAGAAGGATCAGATGCATAGAGAACAGTATACGTGGCGCCAGACTTTTCCAGAAAATTAACTAGTGAAGATAAAGTCTTTCCTGCACATTCAGTTAAGCTAGGATTAAATGAAGCTAAAAAGACCAATATCGACCAGAATAGACATAAAAGTCTCAAATGAAGTACCTTCAGATTGACCTTGGTCTAAATCCTGAGAGCCTTCATCACAAACTACAATTAGGTCTGTTTTTTCACCAATCCTTGTTTCCATCCTTGAGCCAACAAAGTCCTGGATGTTAACATTTACAATTTTAGAACCAGTTTATATTTGCTTGAAAGCTCTGGAAAGCAGTGGAAAATTAGAAGGGATATCACCTCAAGCGACTGAACTCCTCGGAGTTTTTTCAGGTTCTCACCCTCAATAGAACAAGATTCCATGTAAGCAATGTGATCAACCCCTAATCTACTCCCACAGTTTTCAACAAATCCTGATATCAAAGAATTTTCAAGTGCATTCTTCCCATCTGAGACTGCAACATACGGGAAAGCCACTGAAGTATTGGAGCTAGAAAAGGAGTTCTGTATAAGAATCCAGAAAAACACAGTTATTTATCAAAAAGAGAAAGAAAAATAAAAGAAAGAAAGAAGGAATGTGTGGAAGCTAGTGATAGCAAGTGGTTTAACGAAAGGAGCTTCAGTTACCTTTAAAAGGCTTAGCAGAATTGGGTCTGTATGTTCGGCCTTCGACAGGTCTGATGATTGCAACTACAAAAGGAGATACAAGTATGTTACCAATTGAGCATTAAAAGCATAATGATGCAACTTATATAGACTTCAACCACGAAACTGAGAATTGATAAAGGTGTATTCACACAGTATGAGGCAGTTCCCATAGAAAAGAACTTGTTTGTTTTCGTCAAAATAATTCAAAACTTAAAATGAAAGTTAATATTCTTGATATTCTAAATCTCTTTCCACAAACTGTAACTACTAAGTGAGTCAGTTACAAAAAAATAAAAACTATAACCGAACAATTCTCATGTATTGGACTCGGTGCCTGTCGTAAGGAAGGCTTTACCTTTCTTCCAACATAGACCAGTGCAACATCCACATTTGGTTGAAGGTTCTTCCCAGAACACTGACAGGAAAGATGAAAAGTCAGCACCAGAGATATTGACTATTAAAAGTTTCATCACCACCTAACAGAAATATGAGGTAAATACATGATAAGTTGGCAAGCAAGTATCTACAACAGATGATGCTTACCACTAAGTCAGACCAACCACCCTCAGAGAGAACAGATTTAACCAAGTCCGCCGGGGAAAGCGTTCGGTAGTCCACAAATTCTTTGACATCAGAAGGTGATGATCTGCAAGATAAGCAATTAGCATCATTATTGCTTATTCTACTGTTCCTTTACAGTGCTTGAAACATATATATATCAAAGCAGATTGTGTACGTGATTGTAACAGGGCATTGAAAGGTCTAAGCAAGATCAAAAGAGAATCAAGACAATATTGTGCAATGAGATAGTTAAGTTAAACAAAATATTTCATGACACTAACATTGTATGCTTGCACTGCTTAAATGAAATTCTAATCTAATGTCAGTGCCATCAACTAGAGTGCAAAACTATACTGCACTTGATGACTTCACTCCCGTGGTTAATTTCGGTGACAAGAGAGATGCCTAGATGTGATCTTATCATGTGAATGGTAAACAGTTTCAGAACAGAGAAAAATTTTATATAAGGTTTCATTCAGTATTTTTTTTTTTTTTTGGGGCAGGCGGGGCCGGGGTGGGGGTCGGGGGGCAATGTTTGGGGCCTCAATTCAAGAAGCTCAATACATGAAAGAAATAATATGGCCCAACTCTTATGTCGAAGCAGATCAAACATAAGGACCCTCTTGGATGAGAGCTGATGAATTAAAGATACATAAGAAACCAATTGCATGAGAGGAACAGAAGAGGCTAATCCAGAATCTAAGAACCTGGAATTCAGAACAAAATACACTTTTCGTGGGAACAGAATTCTTAGTTATGGTGTTTCAGTACAAAAGAACTGGAAAAGGAATTCATCTTGATAGAAGGAGAAAACACAAAAGCTTGACAATGTCAACAAACATGATATATTGATGCGTTAGCCATAATAGTAGACATAAGGTGTGATTATCCTATGCAACTCTAATAAAATCCTTAGATCAATATACAGACTTTAAGGATCCAAACACGATAAGCCAATTAAATTTATAGTCAACTCAACCTAGATAATTTTTTCTTACTAAACATAATTTCTGAACCAATGTTGACATGAGCGCACTGAGGCGACCTCAGGTGCCAGGTGCTTTTAGGTGGTGTGCCGACACACAACATGAGGTGCAAGGTGCATATAAGCACGGTGCATACCTCTATATGCCTCACAGCATTTAGTTTCTTTGTTGTCGCTGTTGGTATGCCTTTTTTATCCTCTTTCTTGTACTCTTGCTGCTGGGAATGGATCAATAAGATTGTGATCTGTAAATATCAGAAATGCAGATCTGCCCAGTTAATACCCATCAAAGCTTTGCTGGCGGTGAAAGGAGGACGAAAAGGACAATTGGTGGTGGAGAATGAATGATCGGAGGAGGCAGTGTTTGACACTGGTCGAGCGAGAGCTATGATGGGTTAGGTGACTTGTCATCCGGAGAAGAATGAAAGGTGGATGATCACAGGAGGCGGTGTTTGACATTGGTCGGGCGAGAGCTATGTTGGGTTAGGTGACTTGTCATCCAGAGAAGAATGAAAGGAGGATGATCGCAGGAGGCGGTGCTTGAGATCGATCAAGAGAGAACTTTCTTGGGTTTGGTTGCTTGGCATCTGGAGAACAACAAAAGTGAGAGAGCTTTGCTACGTTCTAACAATGGTTATGACTTTGGTTCTAACATAGAACATCTCTAAACAAGAATTTAGTTTTTAACTAGTTTATCTAGGTATTGTTTACGAATCTCATGGAGCCCAGACAAAATTTTATTGAATTAGGTGCTCCATAGTGCAAAATACCATTAGAGATCAACATACTTCAGTACCAATTTAACAAGGAAAGAATCATCATTAAGATCAATTGGAAATGATTGAAGTGATGGATATGAAGTAATGGCGTCAAAGTCCTCGTCAGAGGTCAGTCCACGGCAGGAGAACTCCGACAAAACAGGATAGGTGGCGGAGAATGATCGAAGGAGGTGGCGTTTGAGATTAGTTGAGAGAGACTTTTGTCGGCTTTCATTCCTTGCATTCTGGAAAAGAACAATACAAGGGAGAAGAGTTGGGAATTAATTAATGATGTTAAGCCAACAGAGTGGGAGCAGACTAAGGCTATTTTGATTAAGGACTTTTTTTTTAATTAGTCTTCTTTTCTTTTGATGGAACGAGTCGAGATGATTTTAGAATGAGGATGGGATCGCTGAGATTCTGAGGATTAACAAAACTAAGATGAGCACAGAATCCTGGGTAGGCCAGAATCACATAGAGACGCATAATGTTTTTAGCCTCGTGAAGGGCAAATCACATACTGACTAGCAAATCGCATCTTAAACTTTCCATAATTTTTCATTCTAAATTCTCTGCTAAAAAAAATTAAATCCACAACTCGTTAGATAGAGTTGGAATCTATCTATAATGCAATATGAACTTCAAAAAGAAATCATATCCTAATAAAAGTTCAAAACAACAAACCATAAATCAAACTAACAAATAAAACCAAAACCCCAATCTAAATGGCCTAGAAGATAAAATCTTATTTGAAATTGAAATTTCAATAAATCTATCTAATCCTAACTAGTTTCTACACTGGATTAGAACTCTCCTACAAATTGATCTAATCCTACCAAGTTCCTTCACTTGACCTTTAAATTGCCCTGCATTACTCCGCTTGCTCTGTTGTGATTGCTTCCTTCCTTTTGCCTTCATCCTATATGGCTTGGTCTATTTTCTCAGTCCTTTTTCTGTTCCCCTACTATGTTCTCTTTATTGTTATTGCTATAATCATAATTCATGATTGCTATATTTGTAACAATGGCTCTGAAGTCACAATCCATTATAAAGGATACAAAATTATTATAGTTTTATTCTTCTGTCTTTTCTCTATTAGGCAACTTCTTTTTTCTTTTCTTCTGCATCATCATCTTCTTTTGCTCCTCTTCCTTTCTACAACCCTTCTCCTTTCTTCGCTCCTATAGAATGATGTCACTTATCTTTTCGCTCACTTTTGTTAGTTTCCTCCCTTGCTTCTCCTGCTACTTCTTTTTACTTTTTTCTACCTTCAGAATTTATTCTTTCAAATAGTAATGGAAGATTTAAAAGAATGTAACAGTTGTGTCATCTTATTCACAGTTCCGACTTCCGAGCACAAATTCCTGAACATGAGGAAAGAATTAGTTTATAGATTCTTTAGGAATCAACTAATTTTGATTTGATCCTCCACCGCGGACAGATCCTTGAATGCTTAATCTTGTGAAAGGGCATCTCCTTTGACCTACTTGTCTTTCCAAATTGCCATGAAATAGTTTAGATTTAAGGGATAATTTCACATAGCACCCCCACCCCCCCAGGGCGGGCTTTGGGTGGTGTCACATATAACCCCGAGTTTTATTTATCTCACATAAACCCCCAGAACTATGGGGTGTCTCCAAATCGCGATCTTTACCTTATCTCCCCTAACACCCTACCTATAGCTGAGTAAAAAAAACCCAAACTCTATCACTCGTCATTTACAAGCAACACACTCTCCCCTAAAATTTGAGTTTTTTCCCCTCAAGAAAATTTTAGTTATTTGCAAATTTCATGCAAATTTCATGTACGAGGTCCAATGAGAAAAGTTCAAAGTTTAAAGGGCTATTGTAAGACACTCCAAAGATCAAGGGGTTATATGAGATAAACAAAGTTCAAGAGGGTTATGTACAACACTCCCCAGAGTTAAGAGGGGGTTTTGCGAAATTAACCCTAGATTTAATCTATAGATGCTTTATGGCAGATTGAGGTCGAAGAAAGGCAAGTTTTACATGTGATATTGTTTGAGAAGTGGGCTCTTTAAAAGAAATCCCAAAAATCTATATTGCATTTTTGCAGGATTTTTATAATGATAGGTTTAGGAAATAACACCTAACTAGCAAAACTAGGCAATCTTTCCAATTTAACTTTGTGACATGAGAAGTAATAGTAAAGCATGATTAGGATCAGTTACTACATTTTGCATTTCTAACTTTTCTGTTCTTTTTTCTTTTATCTTGATGATACTGGTCTTCACTTTTATGTAGATAATTGTTTACACCTTCACTGAGTATGTAAATAACATAGCAAACATTCATATTTTGATATATTCAAGCAATCTAAATGTTCCCCACAGGTTCATCTAACTAAAATGCAAAAAAAAAAAAAATCAAAGATCAAAACTGAAAAGGTTATAAAAATCTAGTACCCAAATTTGTGAGGTGACCATAAAAATGCCGGAGCTGTTGTAGGAGAAGGCATTACATGAGCCATTTGTGCTGCTAAAAATAGAACCGCGATGATAACAGCCCTGTTGCCCTTCATCTTTCCTGCAAATAACTTGAAAATCTTAAAACTCAAATATGTACCAACTAAAAGCACTAGCTACTCACAAGTTTTTCCCCACATATATTCACATGTATATTATGGGATTAACAAAAGGCTAAGCATGAAATTAGATATTTTACTAAAATTAAGCTCCAAATTGGACTACAATTATTATTCTGATCTAAATTAATCGACCGTTTTTTCTACAATCAACTCTGGGAAGTATTAGGAACTTAATACCTATGATGTAATTAAACCCAATTGCCGATCTGATTGCTGGCCTTAAAACTAAATGTTTGTAATACGTTTCCCCTATTTGATGCAAAATAAACACCAGAGCAGATAAAAATTAATAAAGTTTATCTTGGATCAAATAAGCACCTCAATAATTGACATCAATTAAAAGCAAGTAGAAAACCCTGTAGATGTAGCAGAAATTTACGAAAAAAAATCAACGATCTATACATAAATCTCTACTGACTTACCTGATCGGACTAGGCGACAAATAAAACCATTAAATGTCATAAAAATAACAATAAAATAGAGAAATTACGCTTAATCATAGTTTCACTGCGGAACGAAGACTTACTTGAGATTAGATCTGACGATGATCGAAGGCTTCGAGACCGCTAGGGTTTTCTTGGATTTGAGGTCGTCCTCTTTTAGGAAATTGGATCCAGATCTTTAGGGTTTTGAGGCTCTTGTAGAGGAATCTTGAGGACTCGTAGCCAAGAGCGGATCGATTCTCTTCTGATAAGAGAGGCGAGAGGGAGATCGCTTCTGCTGGAGAATAATTAATTTAAAAAACAAATAAAAGTAAAATAAAAAGGGAAAAAATGTGTTCAGACCCCAAAAGTAGAAACTTTATGTGACCCGTCCTTTAGTATTCTGACTCATATGTATAAGCCTCACATACATACTGTATTTGTGTTAAGGCCCTAAAGTATCGGACCCTGAGAAAAGCCCAACAAAAGTTACGAATTTACCATTTGATTTGATTAAGCTTGGTAACTGCGTCCATCCCTTTAACCTCATCCCATCTCTCTCTTTCTCCTCCTCAATCTCTTAACTTCTCCTTCTCTCTCACTTCCGCAATGGTCACTAGAAATGATCAGGTCCTGGGAAGGCTATGGAAGGCGAAGGCGAGGACGGTGGTCATGGAGTCGGAGGTCGGGGAGTCATCTTGGAAACAGCCCGTGAACGGGGGTTCAACGACAAACACGAAACATGGTCTGGTAGGACCCGCGAGATGACGGGGCCCGGAGCTTTGGTGCGAGGCATCGTCGTTCTCCCCTTTCTGAGTTACGGAATCTCTTTATCCAAATTAATGTCTTAATCAAGATAGTACTCTTGTTTTCTTGTAATTTATGAAGGGAATCGATAATGAGTTTTTGTAGTTTTTCTCTTTCATTTAATTGAAATGGGATCTCTTTGGATTTTTGAATAGCGGTTTGGGTTTTCCTTTAATGCATTTTTCTTGTGTGATTTGGTGATTGACAAAGTTCTGTATAAGAGATTAACAGCAGAAATTTTCAGAAGCTCACATTGAATTTTCAAGCATATCGACATTTAGCTAAAAATTGAAGACAATGTGATTAAAAGTCGACTATAGAATCTAAGAAGCTGTGAATTTGAAAGGGGGGACAAGGAAAATTAGAACTATGAACCCTACACCCACCGCAGCCCCACCCTACAATCGAACCGCTCCATTGAGGTCGGCGCTGGCATCGACCTCAACCACGACGACATCGCCGGGTACCTCCCCAAGGAGCTCAGCCTCCTGAGGGACCTGGCTCTCTTCATAAACTCCAACAAGTTCTATGGAAACGAGCCCTCGGACCTTCGAGAGGATGAGGTTGCTCTTCGAGCTCGACCTGAGCAACAATCGGTTCGCCGATAAGTTTCCTAGGGTCGTCCTCTGGCTCCCCTCCCTGAAATTTCTCGACATCAAGTACAACGAGTTCGAGGGCAAGGTGCCCTCCGAGCCATCTTCGACAAGGACCTCGACACCATCTTCATAAACCACAACAGGTTCGCCTTCGGCAAAAACAACAACATCGGGAAACTGTTGGAAACTGGTTGTGAGCTGGGTAGTCTGGACTGTTAGTTCTAAGGGCTGGAATGTTAGTTCTAAGGGCTGGACTGTTAGTTCTAAAGGCTGGACTGTTAGTTCTGAGGACTGTTAGTTCTAGTAGCGTTTATGTTAGTTCTGTCATCTCTTACGTTAGTTCTACCCGCTTTCATGTTAGTTCTGTTATCTCCTACGTTAGTTCTGTTCGCTGCCATGTTAGTTCTATCCGTTGCCATTTGCTGAAATTGTGTGTAAGCCGGGAGACTGGAAACAAGTTTGACGGAAGGAAGCTTTGAAGAGCTAGACTGATATGCAAACTATGGACTGATATGCAAATAGAAGGGCTATTACGCAGATACTTTTATCCATAGTAGCTTGTTACAAATACAATTAGTTCTGGTAGTTTTTTGTTTTTTCTATTTGTGCACGTGCACAGCTGGCACAAGCTTTGATCTCTTAAACTATTGTATACAAGTGGAGCTTGTAAAAGAATGAAAGCATGAATGAAATACAAATGATTTCCTCTTCTCAAACTCAATCTCTTGTAAAAGAATGAAAGCATGAATGAAATACAAATGATTTCCTCTTCTCAAACTCAATCTTAGCTCTTATTCTCTCTCAATTCTCTCAATTTCCCAATTCTCTCTATCACATACTACATTTGAGATTGTTTCAGGCTCATCATGGCTAGAAACAGCACCACGAGATTCAATAGAGGATTCAGATCCTCACGCACGAACTGTGTTAGTTCTAACCTATTAGGTGCAACGAATGCAAGTTCTATTGTAAGTGTTAGTTCTAGCTGCTCTAGTGTCAGTTCTAACTGTTATCGTGTTAGTTCTACCTCCAGCGAATGCAAGTTCTATTGTAAGTGTTGGCTTTGTTGCCTTTGTTAGTTCTAGCTTAATTAACGTTAGTTCCAGGTGTTGTGGGGTCAGTTCTAACAGTTATCGTGTTAGTTCTATCTCCAGTGAACACAAGTTCTATTGTAAGTATTGGTTCTATTGCTTTTGTTAGTTCTAGCTTAGTTAACGTTAGTTCCAGCTGTTGTGGTGTCAGTTCTAACTATTATCGTGTTAGTTCTACCTCCAGCGAATGCAAATTCTATTGTAAGTGTTGGCTTTGTTGCCTTTGTTAGTTCTAGCTTAATTAACATTAGTTCCAGGTGTTGTGGGGTCAGTTCTAACAGTTATCGTGTTAGTTCTATCTCCAGCGAACACAAGTTCTATTGTAAGTAGTGGTTATGTTGCCTTTGTTAGTTCTAGCTTAGTTAACATTAGTTCCAGCTGTTGTGGTGTCAGTTCTAACTGTTATCATGTTAGTTCTACCTCCAGCGAATGCAAGTTCTATTGTAAGTGTTGGCTCTGTTGCCTTTGTTAGTTCTAGCTTAATTAACGTTAGTTCCAGGTGTTGTGGGGTCAGTTCTAATAGTTATCGTGTTAGTTCTATCTCCAGCGAACACAAGTTCTATTGTAAGTATTGGTTCTGTTGCCTTTGTTAGTTCTAGCTTAGTTAACGTTAGTTCAAACTGTTGTGTGGTCAGTTCTAATAGTTATCGTGTTAGTTCTACCTCCAGCAAACACAAGTTCTAGTATAAGCGTTGGTTCCGTTGCCTTAGTTAGTTCTAGCTTAGTTAACGTTAGTTCCAGTTGTTGTCGGGTCAGTTCTAACAGTTATCGTGTTAGTTCTATCTCCAGCGAACACAAGTTCTATTGTAAGTATTGGTTCTGTTGTCTTTGTTAGTTCTAGCTTAGTTAACGTTAGTTCCAACTGTTGTGAGATCAGTTCTAATAGTTATCGTGTTAGTTCTACCTCCAATGAATACAAGTTCTAGTATAAGTGTTGGTTCTGTTGTTTAGTTAGTTCTAGCTTAGTTACCGTTAGTTCCAGCTGTTGTGTGGTTAGTTCTAATTGTTATCGTGTTAGTTCTAACACGATCTGTGTTAGTTCTAACTGTGTTAGGTCTAATAACAGCATCTCCTTCTGTTCTGATTTGAATCATGGTATCAACACATAAAAGAGTACCTTACAACATGAAGAATTGATAATAACAGAGATAACTACATACATAAACACAATAATATGCCATCCTGGTACTGACAATACAAAAAACAAATCAACAAACCAGTACAAACTTCCACCAAAGTAACAAATACAACAACATAATACCAACCAAATTAATACAGTCATCAGCCTGCAAATGTCTAGAATCCCAAACAAAGGAGAGAAAATTCTGATAGAATATAGCATTTGAGGGAAAAAAATTACAAAAGATATGAGCAGAATATGCTCAACATGAGACTTTTAAATAGATAATTACAATACACAGCTTAAATCTCAAACAAAGGAGAGAACTTTATGATAGAATATAGCATTTGAGGGGAAAAAATTACAAAAGATATGAGCAGAATATGCTCAACATAAGACTTTTAAATAGAAAATTACAAGACACGGCTTAAATAAACAAGGACACGAAGTAAACGAGCAATTGAGAGATTTTTCTAGATGGAATTGATAAAAAATTTAAAAACCCACAAAAGATTTGAGCTCTAGAACCATAATTTGGGAGCTTTATTAGATGATCAATCCCCTCAAAGAAGAGATAAAAGACCCCAAATTGGACACAAAGAGACAAAATTACAACCAAATTCAAGGTTAGTTAGAACTAACACGTTGTGAGTTAGGACTAACACAGGAGCCTAAGAGCCATGAATTAGAATTAGAACTAACACGCGGTGTATTAGAACTAACACGCGGTGGGGTAGAACTAACATGCGGTGAGTTAGGACTGACACGCAGTGATCAAGATATCATGTTGATATAATACTTCTATTTAACTGATTTTACCTCTCTGACTGATCAAGGGCAAACTCATAGAAGAACCACTCAGCATCAGGTGCTTGCAAAATTGAATCATTTGAAGAACTGGAAGCTGATGATTCAGTACTACTAGACAAGATACTACTACCAAAAAACACATGCCAAAACAGCCCTTAATGGGGAAAGCTTAGCGGCCTTAGCCAAGTGTTTTACTATATTCAATTGAAGAGGGTAAAGGTGGTTTCCCAGGGATGTAGAAAATGAACTATGCAGATTCCCCTTGCACAATGGAACTTTATTCTGCAAGCTAACACGTTGTGAGTTAGGACTAACACAGGAGCCTAAGAGCCATGAATTAGAATTAGAACTAACACGCGGTGTGTTAGAACTAACACGCGGTGGGGTAGAACTAACATGCGGTGAGTTAGGACTGACACGCAGTGATCAAGATATCATGTTGATATAATACTTCTATTTAACTGATTTTACCTCTCTGACTGATCAAGGGCAAACTCATAGAAGAACCTCTCAGCATCAGGTGCTTGCAAAATTGAATCATTTGAAGAACTGGAAGCTGATGATTCAGTACTACTAGACAAGATACTACTACCAAAAAACACATGCCAAAACAGCCCTTAATGGGGAAAGCTTAGCGGCCTTAGCCAAGTGTTTTACTATATTCAATTGAAGAGGGTAAAGGTGGTTTCCCAGGGATGTAGAAAATGAACTATGCAGATTCCCCTTGCACAATGGAACTTTATTCTGCAAGCTTGCCTTTGAAAAAGTAGGTAAAACAGGGATGCAAGCCAACCCATGACCAGACCTTAGAGGATAAACAGGCGGTACATAAGCTGATATAACTTCGTCAGTACTTCCTCGCTAAAAAACAAGACGAGTTCGGTGTCGGC